CACGGAACAGAGAGTTGAGGCAATATTGAACTATTTACTAACTACTTGACTATTTATTTGGCTATTTACTATTTGAACTTGGAATTTTAACTGTCACTTCTCTTTACATTTTAGATTGTTTACTGTATATTAAAAATAATATTAGAGATTTCCCTACAAATGATTCAGTTCATAACCATTTTACCAGACAAAACACTTTTCTCCGTCCAAACCAATGTAATTTTATGACCACAATCAATAACTTTAGTGAATTTGGAAAAAGATTGTATAATATGTTACCTGCTCACATTAAATGTCTTGAAATACGACAATTTAAATTTACTATTAGAAAGATTTTGTGTGATTTATGTGTGTATAAGGTCAAAGAATTTGTAGAACACATTAAGTAGGTTAATGGATATACTGTAATGAAATTGTATGACGTTGCTATACATGTATTTATAATGTTGATGGCAATAAATGGATTTGATTTGATTTGATTTGATTAACACATACTGATTGTGCAAAGTTAGATTACCCCGTTTTGTTCTTAGAAGACTTAAATTAAAATGTATGGTATATTTTGCCCTTGTAGGCTATATTCACATTATTTTGTCCTATGACGTTGGCATTATTTGGGGATCTGGAAATGTTCATACCAAACCAATATTTAGCATGCAAAAAAAACACAAGAGTCCCATGTCATCTTTAGCCTAAACCTATGTAGGTGTTTACCAAGGTGTTTTTTCTGAATCATGTATTCTTACTTTTCTGTGTATCTACATTTTCAAACACTCCATTTTCTTGGGAAACGCTTTAAACTTCATCTGTATATTGTAACTAATTCGAATACATCAGAAGATTTACAAACACATTGATCATTCCTAGTTAGTTTTTTAATAAGATATTTTACAATACTGTAATTGTTTATTAGGCTTCAAAATTATCTCAGGAATGAAATGGACTGTCGCAAATCTAATGGTCAACTTTAGGAATTGTATTCTTTAATTGGTTTCATGGTGTCGCAATTTCAGATTTTGTATCGAATGTAATGTTTACCAATGCATCTAACTAGTTTCACGACAATAAACAATATTTTTTGATAACATAATCAAACATTTTGTAAACGAAATTTGTCTCAGTGCTACAATTTCATCACAAATTGTATAAATATTGTAAATATAATTTGTATCGCAGATGAATATAAACAACTTATACTTTGTGTTTGTATAATATAATAAGTTAATTTAAATAATAAATAGACACGTGCTTGAATTAAACTCCTCTTTAGTGAAGTCTTTTGTTTTGAAAATAGAGTAGGATGCCTATTTTTATAAACCTTATATTTTGAGAATGTTATTTTACTATTTTTATAGAAGAAAACATTTATTTCCTAACAGGTAATATTTAAACTAGCAGGTTAATTTATATTAAAGTTATTAATTAAGTCTATGGTTAGATACATTTAAATAGTTTCAAATCACAACCTAATTACATAAGAAACCTAATTACATAAGATTTAAGCTACATAATTTCTACTCTAAGAGATTTTATTAATATATTAATTTATGATGTTTTTAAAAAAACCATACACCTAAAGTGTAATTTTACATTACGTTTTCCATAGTTTATACTAATTATAAACTAATATTGACGTACTTTAAAAAATATTTTTAATCGACAACATGTTAATTAAGATATTTAAATTCGATTAAACTTCAAAAAAGAAATAAATACGTTAAAAGCAATGCACCTAGCATCAACTAATCTTCTATCGTTTTACTAATAAAATACATTACAACCTAATGCTTTATACTTTACTTGTTTTTTGTCTACATTCACAAATCAACTTATTGATAGTATATGTTTTTAACAATACCAGTTATTAAGGCAAGTTTCTTCAATTTAGTGAATAAATTATATGAAAGCATATTCCAATGTAAGGCAAGAAAGTTGTAGATTACACACAGCGTGTGCAATAAATAGACATTTTGAATTAATAAAAAGAGTTTCAAACTTTAGTTCATAGAGAAATATCCCATAGTCTTGATTTTGCTTTATACATTTCCGCTTTTTGATGACATGAGTAATTCTTTTATGGGATTGAAATAATAATAATTCTATTGTTTGACTTTAATAAAAATTAGGTCTAGTAACAGTTATAGTCTGTAATATTGAAAATTTATGTTCATGTCAGTTTCAAAATATAGTAAATAGGTACTAACCATAAAATTAATTTTATAACTAAACTAAATAGTCAATTTATAAGTCGTTAATCTGAATGGGGGTCGTTTAACTAACAACATAACACTAAAAAGGATAGTGTTTTTACGCGAAAAAAACTTTATAGTTTACCATAATTTGTTTATAACTATATTGTTATTATTAGCCCTACAGCCAGTCTCTTTACTTTGATTGATTGTAATAAAACATTAATACTTTCAGGGTGATAAAATATTGTTCAATTGTAAAAACTCATCGTTTTAAATGCAACTTGTTTATTCGATTATTTTATTTATTTAATTGATCAATCCATTAAGTAGGTGTCAATTATTATGATTTATCCCCTAATAAGTATTTTTAAGTTGTACTGTAGGCAAATAGTAAATTCACAAATCAAAATAGAATTGTAGTTAATATAGTTTTATATAGATGTTGATCGTTGTAAATTTTAAATTGATCATATTCAGTTTTTTATCATCTGTATCATAAATATTCAACAGTTTGCAGAATTTAACTTAAGAACAATATAAATTATATTTACCCAACTACAAAATCAGTTAAACATTCTAAATACGTTCACTAAATAATATCGTCTTTATATTGTTATTAATACAATTTAATCTCTTATTATGTTCTATTGTCACAAGAAAAGGCGATTGAAACCTAAAATCAAATATCGTATCAAGTATCTTATATTTCTGTTATGTAACTATTCTTAACAGTATCGACAAACTTCTAGAACTTCATTGAACTAAAACCAAATTATTTAGTACAGTAGTAGATTAACACTACATGACATGAACTGTAGGCCTAACCGATGATTTTGGTAATGCCCCCAGTACACTCTCGCCGAGACGTTCGCCGAGGCGCCTCGCCAAGGCGCTCGCCGAGTAATTCGGGCGAGAGCTTATGCGAGGTAACCGTGCACACTCTCGCTTTGTCTCGCAGTCGAAATGGAGGCAAACTTCGATGTGGAAGTAGCAACATTAACCTTGTTTTGTGCATATGCTTATTTTAATTATGTTTACACGTACTTTTTCTTCAATTCGGTTACTGGACGGTTGAGTTTTACGCTCTAACGGCACCAAGCATCTGTTAGTTTAGTTTGTAACTGACTGGTTGGGTAAACAAGCACCGGAAAACAGTACGAAACGTTCTTGCGTGCTTGTCAGAGCTTGTAACAAGCGCTTGCTAGCCGGCACAAGCTTTGTCTGTGAACGCACACGCTTGATACTATGTTGACTTTTCTCACGCCGGTTCGAGCTTGCAAGCGCTTGCCAACAAGCGCTTGTAACCAGCTTTCTTTGTGAACGCACCCTTACGTTTTTCCTTGTGGTGTACGTGTGTTGGGTCCCACAATAACGACTCACCATGGTAGGCTTCTAAAAAGTCAAGAACTGTGTTATTTGACTAATCCATGTTTACTTTAACACAAAATGCACCCACAAACTAACGACGCACAGCTGAACTAACGACGAGACAAGGCGAGAGTGAACTGGGGTGCCTCGCGCTCGCCACTCGCTCAGTCTCGGGTCCTTTGACTCGTGTCAAAAAACCGACTCCAGACGGAGCGTCGGCGAGCACGAGGCGAGGCGAGGCGAGGCGACCCGAGTCAAGGCAAGACAAGACGAGCGCACCGAGTACACTCTCGCACTCGCCAACGCTCGCCTTGTCTCGGCGAGAGTGTACTGGGGGCATAAGAGAAAAACTGGGTCAGTAAGGCAGGGTTGGCCTCTGTCACTCCTTACCCGTTGCCACCCTTAGTTGAGCCGCACTTTGGAACTGGGATTTGAATCTTTAATAGTAAAAATATATATAAGTATATTGAATTAGAAATATAATTACTTCAAGCCTGCATTTTAATAGATATAATTATTATGTAGCCTATGCTATTAGTAGGCCTATATAGCTGTAAAGTAGATAGCTAATTTTTTTTACGTAGTTCTAAATTGTAAAATCTCGCATTTTAGAGATTTTATTTTTGTCTAGGTGTGAAATTAAAAGTGAGCTTCTTACATCAAATAATAAGTAGGCCTACTCGTTAGAAATTTAATAAATAATTATTATGGCGTATTACCCCACTTATCTGACTTGAAACTTGAATACGATATTACTTTTTGCCTTTATTAAAACTACGTGTTTTTTTCAAATTTCTAACAATTAAGTTCAGTAAACTTGGAAATTAGATTTGGCAAAATACAGAGGATATATTTTACAGTTAACCACATGAATTTGATAACAGTAGGGAATTTTGAATTTAGTTACACCACCCTAGTAGGCCTATTAACGTATAAATGTATTATTTTCAATATTTACAATATTTTCCTTTTCACTGCTTAGGCCTATATTTTATTTTTATTTATGTATTTCTTTATTTATTGATATTTTCACCGTATTTAAAACCTATTGCAATTTTAAATAAATTGTTGGTTAAATAAGGGTAGAATCATTTTTTAAAATTAAAGTTGTAAATGAACCGTGATACGATTGTATAAACAGTCACCAAATTCACCGTAAATTATGCGTACCACCTAATAAAATGAGGAAAATCCGCGAACCTAATTGTACTTGTACTTGTCGAAGGCAAAGTCGCAAGTGTGAAGTGTGTTGTGGTGACACGGTGTTCGGTGTTAACAAGCGAAGGGTGCCGATAGTTGCCGATAGGGTAGTATCTACCGATAAACTTGTAAACAGGAGCGAGGCGTAGTGGAGTACAGAGAGCGGTGATTAATATGGGTGTATGAGGTCAAGCCGAGACGCCATCGGCCAGGGAGGGCATGTAGAACAAGTAGATCTATCATCACCGGAGACAGAATGACACGATTGGAGGACATCGGGACGGGTGGGCGGGGCGAGATACTCGGCTGAACCTATCAGCAAGCCGCGCGACCCGCAGAAAAAAGAGAAGCGAAAGAGGGGAAAAAGTAGGAGACGGAGCGGGAGGTTTTTCAATCGCGGCGGGGGGAGTGGGGCGCGTAGACTCGTGTAGCGCTTGTTGTAGTTTGTGTGCATTTTGTTGCGGACTTGTGTGAGACCACCCCGCGCGCGCTCACTCTCAAACCCGCGCTCACCGACGTAGCTACCGTACCTACGCTACGCCGTCGGCCGTACGTCCACGTGGCGACATCTACGTCGACACAACGTAGCCGACACACGACGTAAGCGTCACCTCCTCAAAAACCGACAAAACTGGACACGAAGGAGAGGCTTGGAGGGGAGAGAGGGGTGGAAATCGGTGGTGGGGAGTAACCGAAGGCGCTACGGATTCTCCCTCCGAAAAATAGCTTTTTTCGGCGGGGGTTTTCGGTTTTCGTTATCACGTCCCCTCCTATCCTACCGTGCCTTCTGTCACTCGCAGTGCGAACGCGAGCGGAGAAAAAATCGAACACTCGGAACATTATTTCGTGTGGGTGGCTCAGTGCGTATACCGTATAGCGTGTGTGTGACTGTGTAGCATGCGTGTATCACATGCCGTGATACCGACGATAGGCGTACATGTGGACTGATGGATAAACTGTGAACTGTGAAGGTGACTATGCTGTGACTGGCCGGACCCCGTACAATGTCCACGTACCCGCTCAGAGGCTCGCCGAATAATCAGGTAACTTTTAGGTTATGTTTACATCTGCCACAAGTGGGCATACAGTAGTGTGTGCGCATTCAAGTGTGTGATCAAAACTCGAACTTTGTGGTTAGTAGTTGAACAATGTTTTAGTGACTCGAAAACCTCCAATAACTGTCACCACATTTGAAAATTGATTTAAATTATCAAACATCAAAACTTTAAATATTCAAAACTTCATAATTTCCTCTTTAAACTCGTACAAGACATCACAACGGTAAAAGATTAGCATTTAAATACAAATAGCTAACTGTATTCGTATCGATCTATGCATAGGAATTTAAATATTCTACCCCAACATGTTTTAAGGTTCGCCTATATTTGTAAAAATCGAATTTGAATTCGTTAGGCCTATTGTAAATTGATTAAATAGTATTCCAAACTAGTATAAACAATGTAGGCCTAATAACAACAATGTAACAATGTAAAAAATACATGTGTAGGCCTGGGGGTTTTTCACTACCACCAATGTAAGAAGTAGTATATTTTTAAATTGAGTGTAGGCCTAGTATTTATGATCATCATTTTAGCATAATTGAATATATGTCACAAGATAAATCGACCATTAAACGCACGAATATAACATATTCTGAATTATATATATTTTAGAAATATCATCATTTACAAAATCTGGCAACCATTAGCTTACAAAACTACCCTAACCTCAAATCAAAAGCCGCGTTTCACAATACTTAGCCGTTCCATTTTGACAACAATGATGATAATACTCGTAACTCTTTCTTAACTTCATAATTACATAATTCAGCATGAAAAGTTTGATATGTGTTACTTGTTGTTTGGCTCAAAATATGTAAAACTAAGCACAATCTGAAATGTATACGGTGTTTCGGATATCTTTAAAAACGCACGAAAGGCTTATAATATACTATTACAAAAATTAAAATACAAAATATCATCCAAATCAGTTAGTTCTTTAGGAGAAAAGTGTCTTTACTCTACAGCATATTTTTTTAAGTAGCCTATTTTAAAACAGCAAAAACGTATGGACATCAACACCCATAAAACATCAAAACACATAGGGCAAACCTAAATAAAGGATTTTAATTTAGAATCATCAGAAAAAATAACATTGATTTGTCAATCATTCCACTTATGTGAGAAGTACCTAAGATAAAGTGTAGACGTCAATCAGCCTCTGTACGATCCATACATACCAGTATCTATCTAAATTTTTAAACATCAATTAAAAGATAATTCTATTCATCTTCAGTAGGCCTACCAACCGACACAAGTAGCCTGGTAACTATTGATACCAATTAACAGCTACCCTGAGTTTAATATAAAACTAGGTATAAATTTATAGTTATCAAATTTGTGAAGCTTTTAAATCTTCAATTGTTTTAAAACCCCATACATATCTTTTCAACAACTGAAAACAATAGATTTTTAGCAAGTTGTGAATATGTTCCCCATTTGTCTGAAACAGTTATCAGAAATATACCAATTAGTTCCATTATGAGATACCATATTTAATGCTTGGTATTCATTTATTCTAATCGCGTAACAAACCAGCTGATTTCAGCTATCCACCTTCACCAAAAATACACATTCAAAACCAATTTCCAACTACGACCCCCAAGCACAGTAGGAATTATTGTCGAGTCAATAACTTATGCCCATCTTGCCCCCAACCGAGTATAAGGTGCCAGCTGGTAGGTCGACAATGGACTGTTGTGTTATAATTTACATTTTTCATCGCCTCCCTGATATTCAGATGGCAGTGGTGACGGGGCCATCCTCCGGTAGACGGTGTGTAGGCTATAGTTGGCCCTCGTCCAACCGTCAGGTGGTCAAGTTTGTCTTCTATTTCAATTTGCGGCTCGAAGCCCCTTGGGCACTTGACCCTTTAAACTTTGAATTCGACCTCACCCTTGTCTTGAACTATTAACGAAGTTTACATTGAGTCAATATATGAACGAGGTTAAACATCAGCCTATGCGTTCAAAAGTGGTGCAAATCTGATGCACAAGAAACAATTAGGTCCTTACTCATGCTTTTAGAGAGAGTTTAATTATTTGTTTTTATTTTCAAGAATAATTACCTTAAATAATTTCGATAATATCTGAAAAAATAGCCATACTTTTTAATTCGGTAGCATAACAATTTAGTTTTTTTTTCAACAGTAATTTACTATTAGAGAAGTGATTTAAACCGGTTACTTTTAAAGGTTTAAATATGTATCATTACCACAGAAATAACCGTAATGCAAAACTATTACAAAACCAAACACTGAAATAAAGTAAACCTTTACCAACATAGCAGTCTTTAAGAAGCAGTCTTGAATTTTAAAACGCATGGAAAACCTCAAAGCCAGGAAAGTGTTTTCAATTTTCTGGATTGGATAAACGGAATCTGTACAATCTTTACAATCTTACACGGATATAGACTTTGTTTATTAATAGCACGACACGATTTAGATTTGATAGGATGGACAATTTAAAATGAAGCCTACGAACAAATATTACGTATAATTAGGATTCCACATCAAGAGTAAAGATTGAAACAAATTCTTTGTAAGTTAATGCAAATCCTTCCACCATTTCAAATTTTAATGTTTACAGAATATAATGAGATCATTTTCATATATGCCCCTATGCTCTTTGTGTGCTTAGTTATGACATTTTACAATCCTAATATTTGTAGCATCAGCTAGTTACAAATAACCTAGTACAAAACGGACGAATTTGAAAAACTAAGAAATATATAGAAACAACTTAACTCAACTGAATCTCAAATAATTCAACGCTCCTTTCGCACTAATTTTGACGCCGAAATTGAAGAATTCGTGTAAACCAGTCATAAGTTACTTCACTATTAACATAGAGGAAGAAGAGTCATAAATAATCCCAGTGTGAAGCCTGTCGGCAAGTGATAACTGGCTAGTGATAGGTTTATGGTTCAATTACATGTAATTACAATGAGAGGCATACAATTAGCAAGGCGTGGCCAGCGAACATGCTTACAGAGGCGGATTACCATAGGTTATACACATTACACATCATGTATAAAGAACCGGTAGACAAACCTACGTTGTCTAAGAAGTAGTTAACTTTATTGGATTCTTTGTATGTTGATTGTACGCTGAAGATACATTGGAACTATATATTAGTTGATTGCAAATGGAATGCATATGTTGCAGTATAAAAATAGGTTTGATTTTGAAAAATCTAAATTTAATCTCAGTTGATTGACGATTGCTCAAGAAAATCCAACTGTCTAAAAAAAGTTGGAAAATATCGATGGTTGAAACATATGTAGCATTTACTGCATGGCAAATGACTGGGGAAATACCTATGTTACGAAGAAATAGTTTTAGTATTGTATAATTTATTAGTTTCGCTGTGTGTTAGTTGACTGTACCGCCTGCGCGAAAGCTTTACTGGTTAACAAGATACCACAACAGAAGTTGTAGGCTATATTTAGAAGAAAATATTCGCGGTAGGCTATATTTAAGTGGGTATTTCTTTCAAAATATTTCCTACAAATCTACATTCTTAGGGGATATATATTTTTTAAACATCTTGTTCATGATGTATTCAAGTTCAGTGTTTTATATGGTTAGATATCACCGTTTCAATAAAATTGAAACATTTTGATTTATTTTACTGTCCTCCATTCCTGAAACACAAATAATTTATGGAAAACCCTGTATAGAAATTGTTTAAATGCATATTTTGTGAAGTGTTGGCCACTTATGAAAACTTTTGACGAAAATAAATGCACGTAAAACTCAAAAATACTCATAAATCAATAACGAAGAGATTGATATAGTTTCCCAGATGTAGGCTACAAATTATTCTTACCAAACCTACTCAAGGGTTTGTAAACACATTGTATTCTTGTATACTATCCCTTGCCAATTTACACTTCTGCCTATTCATATACTACGACCAGTGATCACATCAGATGAAACTTATGTGAATTTATAAGAGAAAATTTGCAAACGAGTAACAAAATTTTCTCAAAACCTAGTACAATTATTATATAAAAAACAATGACTTATTATTAACTTAACTTTAATTTATACAACGCTCGCTAGAAGAAATCTACAATATTCCTTGGGGTATTGGAGTATTCCTTGGATATAGCTCTGCGGGCAATAGAGAACCAAATATCTCAGAATAGCCTACAAATTTGTCTAAATAGTAGTTTAGTCTCTAAATGTCTCATACATATATTTCCAAAATGTAAATACATTGAAAATATTTCATATATTTTCATAAGCACAAAAATTGATTTTAATTTTAGAGTGGACCCAACTTACTTAACGATAAATGATTACGAATTATAAACTTGTTTTCATCAAGTAACCAGCAAAAGTTCATTGAAGTTCATCATTGAATTCGAAATGTTGTCAAGGGGCTTATAGAAATATTAATGTTTGATTCCGATAAATTTGTATTTCCAAAAGCGAAATACATTAAACATACTTCATACATTTTCGAACTTAGCTCAAAAGTAGGTTTTAATTTTAAAATTAACCTTTTATCACAACAACAGACTAACACGAATTAATTGTTTGAATTGTGCTTCCATCTACACTCTGCTTAAAGGCAAATTTAGTAAACACTTGGCTGAAATGCTCAGAATCTCACTCTTTACAAATCCATTCACAAAACGCCTCCATTCACAACCGGGATCAAGATCAAATTAAAAAAGTATCTACAAGATCCATGAGTGGAGAGGTCCTATAATAGGCCGGCCACAATATAAATTATAGCCGATGCTATCGAGGATCCTTCGAGCGACACAAAAAGTGTGAACATCCGACGCCGGCGGTCGTACGTCTTTCATTGACCCTGGACACTTTGTATTTTGTATTCCCCGCCTCTCCACTTAATGCCTAAATGGTTTCGTTATTTATCTATCGCTCTTCCCTGACGTGACTCGGGTGTCCAACAGCATTTGTTTATAGGGAATTCGGATATCGTGCAAGGAAAATTGGGAATTGTAAACGG